TTTTTTTTTTTTTTTTTTGGTTCTGGGGATTGAACCCAGAGGGGCTTTACCGCTGAGCCACATCCCCAGCCATTTATTTTTTATTTTTTATATTGAGACAGGGTCTCACTTAATTGCTTAGGGTCTTGCTAAGTTGCCGAGGCTGGCTTTGAGCTTGCTATCCTCCTGCCTCAGCCTTCTGAGTTGCTAGGACTACAGGCGTGTGCAACCACACCCAGCTTCTATTGCCATTTTAAAAAGTGATTAATTTTTGTACCTGGTAATCTCGCTGTAGTTCCATTTTCAGTGGATTCTATTGTATATTCTAAGTTAAAAATCATAAGCTCACTTGCCTCTTCTTTTCCCATATTTATATATTTCTTTTTTCTCCTCGGCTTTGCTGGTTTCTCAAGTATGAAGTTGAATAGTGTCAGTGATAGTGAGCACCCTTATTTTACTGCTTTTGTCTTTGGTTGTAGTGTTTGTTGTAATTTCTAGTACACATCTTTTGTCAGGTTAAGAAATTTTCTTATGCTCTTAGTTCGTTCTTTCATTCATTCATTCATTTATTCATTCATTCCCTCCTCCCTTTCCTTCTTTCTTCCCTTCTTTACTATTTCCCTCCCTCTTTTCCTTCAGAAATGATGCTAAATTTTAGAAGATGACTTTTTCCACACCTATTGATATGGTATGAGGTTTTTTACTTTTAATACAGTCATGTCATGATTCTGTCAAGCCATCTTTTCTTTCCTGGGGAACATCCCAGCAGGGTTATAATATGTCATTCTTTTTAATGCCACTGAACTTGCTTTGCTAATGTTTGCATTTGTCCAAAGAACAGTAAACCTATAATTTCCTGCCTACCCCCACTTTTGTCTTGTTTTGATGCTAGAGTTATGCCCGACTTAATAGACTTTTCCCTCCCTGCTACTCCCCGTAATAGTTTAAATAGCAGAGACTAATCCTTCCCTTGAAGTTTTAGTGGAGCCTGTTTTTGCAGTCTTGTGGCCTATTCCCTGTCGTGGGGTAGAATCTGACTTTCTCTTCAGTCTCTTCTGATTATTTATATAATCAGTTTTTCTATCTATCCTTGGGTTAGCTTTAATTGATATTTTCTTGCAAAACCATCTTTTTACAAAGATTTTCAATTTTTTGAAATAAAGTCAATAAATAGTATTTTAGGATCTTCAGAATCCTTTTGGTACTTTTACATTTCCTTCACCTAAAATCTCTGTTTTTACCTTTGTCAATACTTTTCTTCTACTTCTTTCGTTTTATTTTGTTGTCTCTATAATGCTGAAACCTGTTTGTTTAGACTTTATTCCTTCTGTGTTCACCACTGTTTGCTTTCATCTCCCCTTTATGGAATGAGAGCGTTCATGAAGTATAACATACATACTCACATAGTGAGTACACTCCTGTAATCAGCACCCACACTGACAGAACGTTGCAGAACCTCAAAACCCACGCCTCCTTCACGCGGCCATCCCTAGTTTGGCCAGCTTTGGATCTCCGTGTGGGATCATAGGGTCTGTATTCCTTAGTGTCTAAAGTAGGCATTTTCATTTGGAGTTCTGATGTTTGAGGTAGGCACAGAAAGTACCTCTGGAGACTTGTGCACAGGTGTGAAGTGTGGGCCAGGAGCAGCACGTGGGACTCCAGTGAGTGAAGTGGCCTGGGTGTAGTACAAAGGCAAGGCAACCCTGTTTCTGCAACCCCTGTTTCCAGTGTTGAGGCCTTTTTGGCCTACATTCACATCTGACCATTTTCTCCTTGTTCCCTTGGGCCAGAAGATTTCATTGGATGTTGTTGTTTTTTAGTTGTAGATGGACACAATACATTTTATTTATGTGTTTATTTTTTTATATGGTGCTGAGGATCGAACCTAGTGCCTCACACATGCTAGGCAAGCGCTCTACCACTGAGCTACAACCCCAGCCCTTGGAGGGTTTCTTTAACCTCCTCTGCATCTCCTGGGCCTTGGGGTAGAGAAAGCAGGGTGAGATTTTTTTTTTTCCTTCACAATCCACATCTCAGCCTGCCCTCTGCGTGTCCTTTCTGCCTTCCCCTACTGCCTTTTATTTCCTCTTCCATTTAAAAAATCTTTGCTTTCCTTCTTCCAGCTTTTCTCTTCCCTCTCCCACCTGTTGCTCTCTCTTGCTCCTTCTTTGCACTCTGGGGAGCAGCCAGTGACCTGTCTCCATCCTCTCCCTTTGCCCCTGGCAGGAGATGAGCTGGTGATGAAGATCAAGCAAGAGAAGCCAGAGTGGCTGCTGCAGACACAGGCCGTGCTTCCCGAGAAGGACAAGGAGAACATTTTCCAGCAGCATCGGGGCCTCCTGCCATGCCAGACCATGGGGCGACCTCGGGGTCTGGGGACACAGGAAGAGACTGGGGGTCCAAGGTGGGCTCCTCCCACTGAGCAGGATGGGCTGCTGGCAGGCCGGGCTCCTGGGGCCGCCCCTGGCCCTCTGAACCCCACACTTTCTGCTGGAGAGGGTCACTTTGTGTGCGTGGACTGCGGGAAGAGGTTCAGCTGGTGGTCGTCCCTGAAGATCCACCAGCGCACCCACACCGGAGAAAAGCCGTATCTCTGCGGTAAGTGCGGCAAGAGCTTCAGCCAGAAACCCAACCTGGCCCGCCACCAGCGGCACCACACGGGCGAGCGGCCCTTCTGCTGCCCGGAGTGTGCAAGGCGCTTTAGCCAGAAGCAGCACCTACTCAAGCACCAGAAGACCCACTCTCGGCCCGCCACCCATGCGTGTCCTGAGTGTGAACGTTGCTTCCGCCACCAGGTGGGCCTCCGCATTCACCAGCGCGCACACGCCCGGGACCGCCAGGGCTCCCGCGCTGGTCTGCATGAAATGCTCCGGGAAGCCGCTGTACGACGGGCCTGCCGCCTGCGGCCTGGGACACCACGGGGCCGCCCAGAGTGGGCCTGGCTGGGGCTCTGCCAGGGCTGGTGGGGCCAGCCTGGGGCCCGGACCTCCGTCCCTGGCCCCTCGGGGCCCGGAGAACAGCGCCAGTTCATCTGCAATGAGTGCGGCAAGAGCTTCACCTGGTGGTCCTCGCTGAACATCCACCAGCGCATCCACACGGGCGAGCGGCCCTACGCGTGCCCCGAGTGTGGCCGCCGCTTCAGCCAGAAGCCTAACCTGACGCGGCACTTGCGCAACCACACGGGGGAGCGGCCGCACCCCTGCCTGCACTGTGGCCGCAGCTTCCGCCAGAAGCAGCACCTGCTCAAGCACCTGCGCACGCACCTGCCGGGCGCCCAGGCTGCGGCATGCCCCAGCTGTGGGCAGAGCTGCCCTAGCCGAGCGGCGCTGCGGGCCCACCAGCGTGCGCACGCCGCTGCCGAGCGCCGGAGCCCTGGGCCTGGCGTCCAGGACCCGGAGCCAGGTGCAGAGTCACAAGCTGAGGCCCCTCAGGACTTGGCTGTGCAGCCCTGCAGTCCCCAGACGCCACAGGGGGGTGGGGCCGCACCGTGGGGCCGGGGGCGCGGGGCCCTGGCCGGGCCTGGGGAGCAGCGCCAGTTCATCTGTAACGAGTGCGGCAAGAGCTTCTCGTGGTGGTCGGCGCTCACCATCCACCAGCGCATCCACACCGGCGAGCGGCCCTACGCGTGTCCCGACTGCGGCCGCCGCTTCAGCCAGAAGCCCAACTTGACGCGGCACCAGCGCAACCACACGGGCGAGCGGCCCTACCAGTGCTCCGCCTGCGGCCGGGGCTTCCGTCAGAAGCAGCACTTGCTCAAGCACCAGCGCGTCCACCGCGGAGCCTTGTCGCCGCACCCCGGCCCCCAGGAGGAGGCGCTGTAGTGCACCGGCGCTGCGCACGGCAGAGGAGATTGTGTGTGGTGTGTGTGGGGACAGGGATAGCCTGAAAACTGGCTCTTAACAGGTCCCTCCTGAGACCCCATCAAAAGGCAGTACCTTGAGGCTCCGAGCCCCAAAGAACAGCATTCCAGAAGTATCCCATTCCCAAAGGGTGCCTGAAAAAGTGCCCAGCGTGTGTTGAGGGAGGAATTAAGATCAGCACTCCTCACCCAGGAGCCTGGATGAGTTGATGATGGGCTGCTCCCGTCTGTACCCCAGGCCTTAGGAACCGAATGAAGGGGCTTTTTGGCACCCTCCAGAGGCGAGAAATGTTCCCAGGATTGGTCAGCTGTAGCACTGGCCTGTCAACACCTGGGCTGCACCATGACCAGGGGGCTGTCCCTATGGTAGAGACAGACTCCAGAATACCAGGAAAGGAGCAGAGGTGGTGGATAGGAGGGGACAAGCATAACCCCAGCACCAAAGCTAGTGCCACATTTAGTGACATCCAATAACTATTTCTGGAGGGACTGGGGGCCTTGGTCCTTCTCCAACTCTGAGTGAGTGCTGGGTGCGGCTGGCCTGGCCCTTGAACTGGCATATGCGTGATGGTCAGGGACGGGAGTGCAAGTGGATGATCTCAGCTGAGATTTGGCCACTTGGGGAGGTGACTGTGCTGGAGGGAGCCACCATGTTGCTTCTGCTTCTGTCCCCAAGTGGGTGGGTGGCTGTTACTGACTTGGATCTTTATCCCTCCTGGGGTTGCAGAAGAGAAAAATGATGAACTGAATATTCCACATGGTGTCAGTGTTCTTTCTGAACTCCCTTGCTGAAGCTGGCGTGTGTGTGTGTGTGTGTGTGTGTGTGTGTGTGTGTCTGTGCTCCCAGGGATCTATCTGTCTGACCCAGGGCACGGAGCTCTTGCCACATGCACAGCAACTTCCCCACTGCCACTTCTTCCTGGGGCTGGAGGGGAGTTTTCTCCTGTCCCCTCTCCTTCAAGTCTGCTTAGAGTCTTCTCACATATTCACCCTACCCCGCCTCACCTTTTGCCCCCTAGAAGTCACATCTTATGCTCTTTGAAAGCAGGGTTGACTGAGATCCTGGTGCTGATAGAAGCCAAGGCTCCAGATCTTTTTCTCAGAAGAGAGGGAATTGCAGAAGGTGGGGTGTTGCAGTTCCAGGGCTGGGTAGTTGAGGGTGGAAGGAAGATGGAAGGACCCCAGCATGGCTCTTAAGGAGAAAGAACTGTACCTGTTCACCTTCTGGGGGCCTGGATCCTTCTCTGAATGCCGAGCAATGCTACCTTCTTTGGGAGCTGCCAAGGTTCAGCCTGGCTGGTTTCAACCTCTCTTCAAATCTAGTTTAGGTCTTTTCATGTGGGAAAAGCTCTAAGATGGGGAGGTGATAGCGAGGACAAGCAGGGCGACTGTAGCTGTTCAGTCTCCCTGCTATCACAGTGCCAGTGAGGCATATGCTCAGCCAGGGTTGCTCATTTCTGGTCCAGCTGTTGATCGCAAACCATGTAGAAATTCCACAGTTTCAGGGTTATCACCCACCTGAACGCTCAGCTCTCAGGACCAACAGGAAGCCAAACTAGAAGGCTTTGCCTGTACCCTTGTGACCCTCACCAATCTTAGATGCTCCCCTGCCTCTCTCTAATGCCCCACCTTGCCCTGCCCAGGGAGCACCTGATTCCTGAATTGTATCAAAGCCTATTGTAACCACGGGAGGCTCAAGGGTCATTCACTTCTTCCTCTTTGCTACTTAGCAAATCCTGAAATCAGTCTGAACTCACCTACTCCAGGAAGGCATCCCTGGGATACCATGATTCATTCCTGGGTTAGAGAGCCACTGCCTATAAAGTCAGACCTAAAGAAACACTGGATCCCTGTAGAATTAGTTGCCCAAGGGTTGCTGCACACGGATACTGAAGAGATCAGACTGGCAGGTGCATCTTACAAAGAGAATGTGTGCTCTTCCACAAATGCCTTGTGTTTAAAGTGCAGCGTTGGCAGGAATTGGGGTTAAATAATTGCATGTCTCCCCTCTTGAAAATGTTTGAGGTTGCCTGTTCACTTTCCCTGGGTGACAGACCCTCAAAAACTAGTGCTTTGGGTCACAAGGAGGAAGACCAAATTCCCCAGTGTGGTGTATTATTGCCAAGTATTCTAGTTGACCAGGTCAGGGGACTGCACAGCACTGTTCACTAACAAGCCAACTGTGTGTCATGTTAGACTTTTTAGAATACTGTGATGAATAAGATGTCTCTCCCTTGAACTTCATGGATCTTTATTTTTTGTACCAGGGATTGAACTCAAGGACTCTTAACCACTGAGCCGCATTCCCACTTTTTTTATTCTTGATTTTGAGTGAGGGTCTCACTAAGTTGCTTGGGCCTTGGTAGGTTGCTGAGGCTGGCTGTGTACTTGGAATTGTCTTGCCTTAGCCTCTCAAGCTGCTGGGATTACAGGTGTATGCGACCATGCTCAGCTGGAAAATAATTAATCTATGTGGTTAACACTTGGATAAATTGTTACCAGCCCCAACCCTCTTAGCAAGGCTTTCTTACTGATTATTTCACTTAATCTCACATGGTCAATGATGTGGTCAGGGCAGGAATATTGCCATTTGATGTATGGAAAATTGGCTGGGACATTGTGACTTGTTCACCAGGTCATGCTGCAGATTGACAGCAGGTCCCAGGCCTCCTGCTAAGCCTGAGTGGCACCCACTCCCACGATCATTGGTCAAGGATGGCACAGTTTTCATTCCCTTTCATTTTAAAGTGACAAATTTGAGTCAGAATATTTAGGAAGAGACATATCATAAATTAAGAAAGTCAGACTTGCATGCTTGTAAACCAAGCAACTAGGGAGGCTGAGGCAGGAGGATCTCAAATTAAAAGCCAGTCTTGGCAATAACCTGTCTCATAAAGGAAAAAGGGCTAGGAATGTAGATCCATGGCAAAGCACCCCTGAATTCAATCCCAAGTACCAAATAAATAAGGTCAGATTTATTATCTTAGTGCTTTATGATCTAAGATACTGTGGAGTATTGCAGAGATTAAGAAGTTGCTTAGTGGAACAAAAACAGCCAAAAGGAAGTAAAAATCTTGAAGGATTTTCTGCCCCTAGGTATGTAAGTGCAGATCTGCAGTGGGGACCTGTGGCCAAACTTTCCACAGGCCACATGAGTTTGGTGGGGCTGAAGTTCCCGGAAATATACTTGTTATTTTGTTAGGAGCAGGTTGGGAACTAATAAAATTAACCTAGGACAATAGCTTTGACATGCAATGTGAGGGTCAAGTCAGACTCCTTGGGAGGATTTGGTGCCCACCACCTAGCCCCAGGACTGCTGGGCCCAGCTGCGGTGGGAGCTGCTCAGGGGAATGGCTACTCAGCAGGTGCAGGGGCACTGATCAAGGGAGAGAGCAGCCCTGTGCCCAGCAGGGACTTGGCAGGGCAAGGGGTGCTTCTGAAACTTTATTATTTTTAACGTGGTTTGAGTTTGGTAAAGAAATATCTTTGACCTTTTGGCAGGAGGAGGAATGTTGGGGCCCAAAATAGTATGTTCTCGAGTATCACTTTTTATCCTGGACACAGGCGGTGGCTGTGAAGAGAGGGAAATGAATGGTACCCTTGGTTGTCCCTTAGGCTCAGGAGGCGTTGGAATCGCCTAGGTTACTCAGCTTTGGAGGGGACAGTGTCCTAGGCCAGCACTGCCCAACAGCACATTTTGTGCTGATGGAATATTCTGTATTTGGGATATACAATACCATAGCCACGAGCCATATGGTTCTTCTTTTCTTATTTTTGGTACCGGGTACAGGGGCACTTAACCACCAAGCCACATCTCCAGCTTTTTTTGTATTTTATTTAGAAACAGGGTATCCCTGAATTGTTTAGGGCCTCACTAAGTTGTTGAGACTGGCTTTGAACTTGCAATCCTCCTGCCTTAGCCTCCCGAGTCACTGGGATTACATGCATGTGCCACTGCACCCAGTGCCATGTGGCTCTTAACATTTAAAATGTGACTGGTGTGGCTGAGAAATTGAATTTTAGCTTAGCTTAATTTTAATTAATTAAAATAGCCACATGTGGCTATTGGATGGTGTAGCCCTAGGATTGACATTCCTATTAGCAAAAAGCTAGAATGCGCGGTATGTGTATGGCTCAGTGCTTTGCCTAGCATATGCAATGCCCTGGGTTCTGTCCCCAGCATAGCAAAAAAGCAAAATAAAACAAAAACAACAACAAACTAGAAGACTTGCCTTCTCTCCCCTCCCACTCTGTGGCCCAAATCTAGAAAGATTTTTGGTTTTTTTGTTGGGAATAGGGATAGAGTCGGTTCTGGGGTAGAATGCTATCTTTGCCCTTTAGACTGCGGGACCTTGGCAGGTGACCTATGTTAAGCATATAGTATAGTGCTGGGCACACAGCAAGCACTCAATAAGTGGTAGCTATTATTTTATTATTAAAATAATTACAGTGGCCCTTGTGTGCCTACTTGTAGAGCAAGAGATGAAAAGGTTTGTTCTCTGTTTAGCTCAGTTTCCATAAAGAATGAGCTGTCCCCATGTCAAGTAGCTAAGTCTGCCACAAACTTAAGGGCTTGGCTGAATTGGTGTCATAGGTCATGTCTCAGCTTTTTTTTTTTTTTTTCAGAAGGCTAAGGAAAGAAAACTTTAGAGCAGCTGAAACATCACACTCACGGTTTCATCTAAGTTTCCACAGCCCATCCCAGCCCTCAAAGTTGTGGCTGGGACTAGGACCCTGCACTGTTAAAGTAGCTTTCTCACATGCATTCACTCATTCACTGACTGAGGACCCATTATATTCTGGACATTGTATTCTGAGATACAGGGATGCTAAAAAACAGTTCTTGTCCTTTGAAGTTCACAACCTAATGGGGAAAATAACAGTTTTTTAAATTCCAAATTTGAGGTCATTACCAAGTGCTTTAGAGTGAAGTATTAGGGATGCTTCTCCAATTCCTGGGGATGGAAGAGCTCGTGGTGGAGACACAATGGAAGCCCTGGGGACTTGGCCTCATGCAGGAAGAGCTGGAGGCTGGCCAGAGCAATGGTCTGGAGCTGCCTGGGAGAGGCCCAGGGTCATCTGTCCATCTGGTAAGTCCCAGGGTGGAATAGTGCAGGGCCCTGTGCAGGGCTTACTGAGCTGATTTCTTCTCTGCCCATATGGGGGTCGTGGGCCAGCTACTCTCCAGAGTGCCTTGGCTGTGAGCAGCCCTGGCCTTTGTTAGGGTCTAGAGTCCAGCTGCCACAAGGGCTGGGGGTGACCTTATGTCAGCTACTGCATTCCCAGAGTGTTTCTACATTATCCTTTACCACAGCAAGTGAGAACAGGATGGTCACCTGGGGGAGAGGAGGGGAGCTGGAAATCACAGGGTGGCAGAGCAGAGAATGGAGGCCTGTGGCCCTGGACATCTCTCACAGAGACCCAGGGTTGGGGATGGCATCATCTGCCCCCCCCCCTCAATCTCTAGATGTGTTCTTTTTGTTTCTATTTTGGTTCATCTTACCTAGAAAAATGCTGCTAAAAATATGGGTACCATCCTCAGGTTCATTATTGATTTTGCTTTTGAAAACTTCAGTCTTCACTAAGTGTCCCCATTTCTCTTGTGGCCTGCAGAGGAGATGAAAACTGGTTGTCCTGGCCAGTGACAACTTCTGCAACAGGAGCTGGAGCACTGGGAGGTGGTGCTGTCCTGTGAGCAGAGAGGCAGGCAGGGGCTGTTTTCAGAGGTCAGGAGGCCCATCGGGACTCTCAACTTG